TTTTTTTTTTTCCCCAATATTTCCCCAATTTTCTCTTTTTTTTTTTCCCCCAATATTTCCCAACATTCCCGCAACATTTTCCAAATTTTCTCATTTTTTTCCCCAATATTTTCCCAATTTTCTCTTTTTTTTCCCAATATTTTCCCAATATTTCCCCAACTTTGTCTGGTTTTTTTCCCAATATTTTCCCAATATTTTCCCAATTTTATCTTTTTTTTTTCCCCAATATTTCCCAATATTCCCCAATATTTCCCCAATTTTCTGGGGTTTTTTTCCCAATATTTCCCAATATTTCCCAATTTTCTCATTTTTTTTCCCAATATTTCCCAATATTCCCCAATATTTTCCCAATTTTCTCATTTTTTTTTCCCAATATTCCCCCAATATTTTCCCAATTTTCTCTTTTCTTTCCCCAATATTCCCCAATATTTTCCCAATTTTCTCTTTTCTTTCCCCAATATTCCCCAATATTTTCCCAATTTTCTGGGGTTTTTTTCCCAATATTTCCCAATATTTCCCCAACTTTCTTTTTTTTTTCCCAATATTCCCCAACATTTTCCCAATTTTCTCTTTTTTTTTCCCCAATATTTTCCCAATTTTCTCTTTTTTTTTCCCAATATTTTCCCAATATTTCCCCAACTTTGTCTGTTTTTTTCCCCAATATTTTCCCAATATTTTCCCAATTTTATCTTTTTTTTTCCCCAATATTTTCCCAATTTTCTCTTTTTTTTCCCAATATTCCCCAATATTTTCCCAATTTTCTGGGGTTTTTTTCCCCAATATTCCCCCAATATTTCCTCAATTTTCTCTTTTTTTTTCCCCAATATTTCCCAACATTCCCCCAACATTTTCCAAATTTTCTCATTTTTTCCCCAATATTTTCCCAATTTTCTCTTTTTTTTCCCAATATTCCCCCAATATTTCCCCAACTTTGTCTTCTTTTTTTCCCAATATTTCCCAATATTTCCCCAATATTTTCCCAATTTTCTCTTTTTTTTCCCCCAATATTTTCCCAATTTTCTCTTTTTTTTTTTTTTCCCAATATTCCCCCAATATTTCCCCAATTTTCTCTCTTTTTTTCCCAATATTTTCCCAATTTTCTCTTTTTTTCCCCAATATTTCCCCAATATTTTCCCAATTTTCTCTTTTTTTCCCCAATATTTTCCCAATTTTCTTTTTTTTTTTTCCTAATATTCCCCAATATTTTCCCAATTTTCTCTTTTTTTTTTCCCCCAACATTTCCCCAATTTTCCCATTTCCCCAACAATAATAATAACAATAATAATAATAATTAATAATAATAACAATAATAATAATTTCTTTTTTTTATTCCTGGCAGAGCGGGAGCAGCTTCCACGTGTTTGACCAGGGCCAGTTTTCCAAGGAAGTTCTTCCCAAATATTTCAAACACAACAACATGGCCAGCTTTGTCAGGCAGCTCAACATGTGTGAGTGAAAAATCTGGGAATTCTGGGAATTCTGGGAATTCTGGGAATCAGCTTTGTCAGGCAGCTCAACATGTGTGAGTGAAAAATCCGGGAATTCTGGGAATTCTGGGAATTCTGGGATTGGGAATCAGCTTTGTCAGGCAGCTCAACATGTGTGAGTGGAAAATCTGGGAATTCTGGGAATTAATTCTGGGAATTCTGGGAAATTTGGGAATTCTGGGATTGGGAATCAGCTTTGTCAGGCAGCTCAACATGTGTGAGTGGAAATTCCAGAAAATTTGGGAATTCTTGGAATTAAATCTGGGAATTCTGGGAATGGGAATCAGCTTTGTCAGGCAGCTCAACATGTGTGAGTGAAAATTCCAGAAACTTTGGGAATTCTGGGAATTCTGGGATTGGGAATCAGCTTTGTCAGGCAGCTCAACATGTGTGAGTGAAAATTCCAGAAAATTTGGGAATTCTGGGAATTCTGGGAATTCTGGGAATCAGCTTTGTCAGGCAGCTCAACATGTGTGAGTGGAAATTCCAGAAAATCTGGGAATTCTGGGAATTCTGGGAATGGGAATCAGCTTTGTCAGGCAGCTCAACATGTGTGAGTGGAAAATCTGGGAATTCTGGGAATTAAATCTGGGAATTCTGGGATTGGGAATCAGCTTTGTCAGGCAGCTCAACGTGTGTGAGTGAAAATTCCAGGAAATTTGGGAATTCTGGGAATTCTGGGAATGGGAATCAGCTTTGTCAGGCAGCTCAACATGTGTGAGTGGAAAATCTGGGAATTCTGGGAAATTTGGGAATTCTGGGGGTTGGGATTGGCAGCTCAACGTGTGTGAGTGGAAATTTGGGAATTCTGGGAATGAAATTTGGGAATTCTGGGAATTGGGAATGGCAGCTCAGCATGTGTGAGTGGAAATTTGGGAATTCTGAGAATTCATTCTGGGAAATTTGGGAATTAATTCTGGGAATTGGGAATGGCAGCTCAACGTGTGTGAGTGAAAAATCCGGGAATTCTGGGAAATTTGGGAATTCTGGAAATGAATTCTGGGAATTCTGGGGGGATTGGGATTGGCAGCTCAACGTGTGTGAGAAAAATTCCAGGAATTTTGGGAAATTTGGGAATTCTGGGGATTGGGATTGGCAGCTCAA